CCACTTATCTCCAAGTGGCTTCTGCCAAAATAGATTTGCCATGGARTCAGTAAGATGGAAATCAGAAGGTTGGCTTTAGTCTGTCCTCTCTCTCAAGACAAACAAAAGCAGCTCTTCCACAGCTTTATAGAGGAATTAAACTTTCTTCTCAAAGTTAATGTGCTCCTGAAAGGAGATAACTTGGCTCAGTGCTGTCTGGAGCTGTTTGCCTGTTCTGATGTGGAAGGGCAGCTTTGTTTTCATGGCCCATTCCTGGCTCCAGAGTGTAGCACGRAGTAGGTGGGTGCCACTCCTGCTGGTGCCTGTCCACTGGCAGGGGTGACAGGATTAGTGGATTAATAGACCCATCTGAGCCACCAGAACAGGCATCTCTGAGATGAATGTTTTAATTATGTCTCTCCCCAAGGCTTCTGCTTTCTGTCTTTCCTTCAGAACAGCACAGAGAAAGATTGCTGGGAATTTCTTTTCCCACCCTGTGTGTACGCAAGACCTGTTTTGTATAAAACAGATACAAACCCCAGCAACAGCAAGGGGCTTGAAATGAGACTGCTGTGACTKTAAGAGTGAGAAAAAAAAAMCCCAAAAAACTGTTAAGGAAGGAAAATAAAAATCCCACAGCCTGTTGTAGCAGCTGTAGCTTCAGATCGTGTGGAAAATGAAGGCAGATGATTCAATTTGGCCTGTGCCCCGAGTACATTTCCAAATGCTTCTGTGTGTGCGCAAGATAATGAACAAATATATTGAGATGGCACAAGATCAGTGCGAGTTTGCCGCTGCACAGGCCGTGGAGCTCCCAGTAGGAGCACACTAGCTGTKCTGGGTTAATGGGGGTGAGGGTCGGGGAGCCCAGCACCTTTCAGAACAACTTAAGAAAAGAATTTGTCTCCTTTTGCCCCGGGCTCCCCGTGGCACTCAAATGGAGCTTGTGATAAATCGAAGTGTATTTATTAATAATGAGCAGGGGCAGCGTGCCCACGATGTGAAAATAGGTGCGCCAAATAAAAACGTGCTTTCCTCTGACATCGGGAAAGCTTAAGTAAATGGAGAGCAGGCTGATCTATTATGATTAAAAAGCGGGGGCTGAGAGCCAACATAGCGGTAATGAAAAAGCCCTTTTAGGGAAACAAGACCCGTTCTGCCCATTTGTGTGTTCCTCCACCCCCAGCCCATTGGATGAAGCAGGGAGGGGGAAGTTGGATGGGAGAGATGGAAAGGCAGCAGATTTCCAGGATAGCAGAGCTGGAGTTATTACCAGGATGAGTTATGATATTTAATCATGCTACATGATGTCCAACAGCGCGAGGTTCATAATTCTTGGCTCCRAACGTGGCTTGGGACTGTCCATGAGCACCTGCAGAATGCAAATTGATCRTGGCCTTACAAACCCTCTGTGCCTACCCCGATCCTTCCCCACTGAGCCAGCCCCGTCTRCAGCCCTGGCCTGCTCCCACRGAATGGAAACGCTCTCTTCCAGGCTCACAAACACAAATCTGTTGTTCCTGGTGAAAGCTGGAGTGCAGCTACTGCAGARAGCTGGGATTGCCAGCCACCAGCTTTGCTCTGCGCTGTGTGCTGGATCTGGGGGGTTCTTTAGCATGCAGGAGACTGAGTTAGTCTGGTTTTGAAGCAGCCTTGAGTTTAATTTATGGTTTTGGAGAATTCCCTTAACTTCAGTGATGAAACATGCCATGCTGGAATAAAACTTGAGCACTTCTTCAATGTTCCAGTGCGTATATATGGGCATTAAATGAATTGCATATGTAATACTGGTTGCTGAATGGCACTGCCACTGTATCTCATACCAAAATGGACAATCAATAGGGGCTGGTCAGGTTACGTTTAGATGGGATATTGGGCTCATCTACCCAAGGCATTCAGTTCTGGTGGCTGGTGTTGCCTCTGGAAGTTCCTGACAATGTGTACTATGAGAGGACATAGCATGTTTTTCCTGTGAATTTGGGAAATTGCTTGTTTGAGTCTGTGCTGAGGTGGAGATGATGACATCTCCAGGCTGGCAGCAGGGCCAGGAGCCCATGGAGCCTCAGGCCTTTGCAGACTCTGGAACTCTGATGACTTTTTCCAAGGGAGAAGAATACTGGTTTTTGTAGCAAAACTCAATCAGGGAACGTGGTCAGGAGGAATTTCTGGAACTCAAGGAAAAACACCCAGAGAAAATCACTAGAAATCAAGCAGCTGAGCCAGTGGTAACTTGGGCAAAGAAGCTTTTGTCCCGTTTGCTAATACCCAGTTCTGCTGAGAGTGCCTGTGAAACCAATGCATCCATTTAGCAGAACAACTTGTCCTCCTCTTTGGGTCCTGCATGTGGCTCATTAGGGTAATTACTGATGAATTAAGGCAGCTTGGCTGAGCGCTGGGGCTGCGGGTGTGCGGGCTCCCCTGCTGGCAGGCAGCAGGTGTAAATGAACAAGATCTGTCAAAAAGGCTGATGACCCTCTTAATTCACAGCAGCAAACTGGGGACAGAGGTAGTGCAGCAAGTTTAATAATTGATATTTACTTGGAAAGGTTAATGGCAGCAGTGATGCTTCTAATTTGCTTGCCCGTGCAAGACCTTGTCAGGTCAAATTGTCTCAATTTGTTACTGCGTGTGTAGGTGTAGTTTTCCTTTAATGAAATTTGGAGAAAAGAAACAGGTGGTGGTTTGGAGCTGACTGTAACTSAAGAAAAGCAGCACAAGGTTCCAGTCTGCTAACAGGTTGGGTGAGTCTGTGCTAACTTTAAACAGCTGGCAGTTTAGTCCTTTTGAATTAATTCTAGCAACCATTTGMACTTGGGAAGGTGAAAGGATTTGGAATGGCATAATTTATTTTTCCTTTAATTTGCAGCTGTCTTGGAGTTGTTTAGGTCAGAAGTGTAATAATTTTGACAGGCTTTGATGTGTTCCTGGGCGGGAGGGGGGAAGGTTATGGATCAGAAATCAGAAAGCTGCAAAATTCAATGGGCATTTCTGTGCCGTGTTAGGGAAACTGTAATTCTGCCCTGTAATGGTTAAGTGGTTCCTATTTCAGGGAGAAACAAAGCACCTGCTGTGTCTGGAAGGATTAAAATTGGCAGGTCAGATACTTTACATCCAAGAGTTTCAGAAGRGCTGGCTGATGACTAGCAACCAGTGGAGTTGGGTTTTGAGTGAGCGTAAAAAGACCCAGATGACAGAAAAAAGCTGGTGTGCCAGTGTTATGAAAGGCTGTAATTAATGGGGTATTACCATTTGTCTTACTGGCTTGGCATCAATCCTAGGCAAGATAATGGGATAGCTGAAGTAGTAATTGCTTAATAAAGACCTAAAAAAGAATAAAATAAGTGAATGACAATCATTTAATGTATTTGGGAAAAAAAAGTCTTACCGAATTTATTTAATTATATGTGGAAGTAAAGATTTGATGGATTATGGCCAATATTGATGTAGTTTAGTTAGATTTCTCTCCTTGATGTTGCTGACCATTTGTTAAGGAAACAGACAATATGGATTGAACATCATGAACTTTAAGTGAATTCTTTCTTGCTTTGATAGGTGGTGCTGSTATTGCAAATGCAAACTCACTGTTGTTGGAAATGYTTCCAGCAGATCCCAGCAGGGATTRCCTCTCTTTGCTGTGCTTTTGAACRTTTTGATGTAGGAGCAAAGATGGAATATTGGTCTCAAAGAAAGTTTGCAGGTGGGCAGCGTATTGAAGGGTGATGTCCAAGGAGTGAGACAGGGCTCTCTGTCAGAAGTGGTTTTGTGATGAGTGGGCCACAAAAAGATTTTTATTTCTATTACTTAAATGTGTCTGCAAGTCTTATCCTGCAGGAGGAAGTGTATTGGTGGGGAAAGGCAGGCAGAGCAAGGACATTYATCACACATTTACTGAGCATGATGCTTTTCCTGTGTTGTACCCGAGCCCGTGCAGGGCTGTGCACTGTGGATGAGAACTGGAGCTCAATTCTCCACACAGCACCCTGAACATGCACTGAAATGTTAATAACAGGGGGACACTCAGCTGGCAGCACTTTTAAACATCCATGGAGGGTGGTGATCAGTGCTCCCAGTGCTGAGATTGCTGTGCCCACGCTGTGACAGCRTTCCCAGTGTGCCCAGTGCCACAGGGGTTATATCAGCACCACGAGCAAACCCTGCTGGCTGCTGCCACYGCCAYRGAACRGGACAGCAAGAAACAAAGGGRTTTTATTGCCATTAAAAATACCAATTTGTACAAGCCGACATTTTAAATAGTGTAATTTAAATGGAACCAAACTGATATGAATAGAACCTATTAATAAATTAAACACTTCTTTCCACCCAATATTTCACGAGGGAATTAGCAGAATAATTTGTTAGTAAATGAGCCCAGGAATGAAGCTGTGAATGACATCTATCCTACCCCTCTCCTCCCTCTGTAGCACTCTTTGCAGATGTAAGAGGAAGGTTGCTGTTATTTCAAACATTGGCTCTCTCACTTCTATCCAAAYATAAGCACAACTTCAGGTGAAGGAGCTGGGATGGTTTAGCAGTGAAAGCACCCTTGGCTGTAAGAGTCAATCCTGCTCCACTTCAAATGCTGTGCGCTATCACAAGCAAGTTGTTTCAGGCCAGTGGCCATCATGGCCTGTCAGTGCAGTCACTGGGGTGGCCCCAGGGCTCTCTGGACWGGGAGCAGTGCCCTGGCCATGGCTCAGGCAGCAGCAGCACTGTCACAGCTGAGATGTGCCAGGAGCGGAGCAAAGGGTTTGGTCTGTCTGCTTCCCTCTTGTTTCCATCCCCTGGGCTTTGGCACTGCCTCACCTGCCTCCACGAGTGCCAAAAGCACCTCTTCCCTCCCCTGTTAGTGAAAAGGAACATGAACACACGTGGGCAAGCACAACTACAGAAAARCCCCATGCGTTCCACCCTTTCCACGGTGCCGTGGGCGTAGAAGCGAAACGTTGGCTGAACTGCTGTGGGCAACCTCGCGAACAGGTGCTTGAAAATCTCCTTTCTCCCCCTCCTTCTTCTCCCTCTAGATGAAGGTCCCTACAAGCAGAAGTGGCAGAAATAGCGAGGAAGACAGCATCAGGGAGGCCACAAGCTCTCAGCGGAGCAGCTCAAGGGACCGTCTCAGTGATGTAAGTACCATTCAGGAGAAAGCGTCGCTTCATTGCAGCAATTCCCGCTGCTGACATGGCTTTTCATAAATCTTGCTGAACAAATGTTGGCATCCAGAGGTCACTGTGTAATAACTTTTTTTTATGTCATGATTGAGTGTTACGGCGTAAGTGGTTGAGCCGCCTTGCAAACACTATAATCATGGTGCAAATAATATGATAAGTGAAAGATCAGAGATGGGAAAACAAAATGGAATTGTTATTCCTTGGGGAAAAATGGCTCGATGTTTTGTTTTGGTTTCTTTTTTTTCRAAGAAGTTGYGTTAAAAAGCTTTTTRCAGCATCTTTGGGTTTAGCTGCTGCACATAATCATATAGTTTGGGTGCAAAGTTAGTTGATCTAATTTTATGCTTCCTGCCGCCAAGATACGAGAGGGTTTTGGGGRAAAGCTGTCTTTCTCTCAGGAAATTCGATGGTACGTTGAGTGAAATGTTATGATAAAACAAAAGCAAACGGTGCCTTCGTGTGTAAACACACAAATGGGCTTTTGAGTCACCAAGAAATCAATGGCAGTGCTGGGATAATTTTATATGAAGGCTTTTTGTGTTAGCAATTAGCATTTCGCCTTCATTAAAACATGATTTTTTACTAATTAGGACCTTTCCCGTTAGGAGAGATTTAAATGAAGAACAATAATCAAACGCTGGCACGAGCATGTCTGAAATATTAAATTTGCCATTTCAATGGCAAGCCACAGAAATCCCAGAGAGAGTGGTTTTCATGTTGAGTTCTATTAATGTAAAATATGCTTCATAACTAAAACCTGTCACAGAAAACGGCTCACACCAGCTAAATTCAATTGGACAGTTAATTTAGCTCTAAAATTGAAAACACTACCTCCGCTTCAGGATGCAAAAGGAAGAGGGGGGGAAAGCCTTTGATAAGTGTAATGTATTTGCTATTAAGGCTTTCAGAGCCCATTCTACAGGAGGAAAAGGGAGAAAAAGGGGAAAAAATGGCTCCCACAAATGTGTTTAAAAGCTGAAAGTATTTATTAAAAATGTCAGCAGAAAAGTGCTTTTGGCAGATTAAAGCGGGATTCAGCTTGACAGCTCTGACAGGGAAATGTGACGGGGGAAAATTCTCTCTACATGTTTGGAGTGTGAATGGGGCGCTGTAAACAGCCGACGCAGTGGGAGGAAGAGAAAAATAACGTGTCCTGTGATCTGCTTCCAGGATTGCGAGCCCACGCGCCGCGGTGGGGCCAGGCTGGGGGAGCTGGGACAAACCCCCTTGCTGGGGGATGTCTCTGGCTGAGTTATTATGAGTTATTAATCAATAACCATCATGATTTTATATCCACGTACACGGATGCGATTCTGAGCTTCCCCTCCTCTCGGCTGCTCCTGATGGGTGTGYGAGCAGGAGTGCCTGGGAGCTGCAGGAGAGGAATAAAATATTCCAGCTTGGCCATTAGCTCGGGTCAAAGCGTTAAGTGGTCTTGGAGACTTTTCTTGTTAAGCCAATGCACTTGCAGTATTTCTCCTCCTTTCCCTTTGCCCCCAAAGTTGCGGGCTGAGCCTGTAGGAATTGACTCTGAGCGCCTAATTCCTGCAAAATCTTCAAAGCCTGTKCAGCAGCCAGTGAAATTCAGTGGGAAATAGGCACTCTGTTCTTTTTTAGTCAGCGGAGACRCTTGAGCAGTGCCTGGAGGCCGGGGCACACTTCAGAGCTTTGCTGAAGCTGCTCTCGTGACCTGGCGACCCATGGCAAATGAGAATTTTTCAAATTAGTAATTAAACAGTTTGAAAAGTAAGGTTCATGAATCACAGAATGCTCTYCGTTCATTATTTGATGAGTGCAATTTAGCTTTAATTACATATAACGCTGCCTCRCGTACTGGTACATGTTCTGTCGCCTGTTTAGCGACCGTCTCAAAGTCCTGGGAAGTCCCACGGGTGCAATCAGATGCTTTTCCCCATTTCTGTGCAAAAGGACGAGGAGGCAGACTGGTTCTCTTGTAGAGAGGGAGCAGGGAAAGGGAGAGGAGATGACAATGTGCTACTGAGCATCAATTCTTGCAGGATTTTCTGTCCAGCCACGCCTGGTCCCTGTTGGCTGTGGAGCTGGATGTCCCAGCACRCTGGGAGCAGTTGGACTGGCACAATTCCTTGCATGTGCTCAGAATCAGGAGCCCAGGGCAGTCAGGGTGTCCAGGGAAGGCAGGGACTGTTTCCTCGAGGTTGGTGGTCACAAACCAAAGCTGCAGCACCGGGCAGTGCCTTTGCACTGGACACTCTGCAGCAGGAGGCACCTGGGCTGTTTCTCACTCTCCTGCTGTTCCTCGGTGCCCTTGGCCTTTGGGACTGTTTTTTGTGCAGCCTTTCCCCATTAACTGGGGTGAACAATGGGGCAAATGAGGCAGGAGGTGCCAGGTCTGGCTCTGTAGGGCAGCACGCAGCAGGTGTGGTGGCAAATGTGTGTGTCAGCTGCAGTGATGCCACCTTAGGATCGTCCCTCCGATCACATTGTGGGTCCCCATTTTCATCCTGAGCAGCTCTGTGCCATCCTGAGCAGCTCTGTGCCTTGTTTCTCGAGGTGACTCGTTCAATGGGATGCCAGCAAGTTGTTCTTTATTTACATTAATGCATGTCATTAGTCTCTAATGGACCGTGGAGTCAAGAGGTGGCCTGGTCTGTCGTGAAATAATTGCACTCTAAAGAAAACTGAGGCAAATGATTGATTGTGTTGTGCACACACACACACACAAACAGCCATTGGTTTGTCCACAACAAAACCCAGAGCATTTTGGCTCCTTCCTCACCACAAGTGAAAATTCTGTAGGGAGAGAATGAAACAATGTCACAGTGAGACAGTAATTGTCTGGCTTGTATAGTAAGTCTTTCCAGACATTACACCGAGTGTCATTTATTATGGGTCATTGGGGGGAAAAAATGCTTATTATGATCTAGTGAAATCATCTCTGGCTGCACAGGTTTGATTTGTTGAGGCTGGGCTCTTCTTTGGGATGATAAAACTTCACAGCAGAAAAACAGGGAAGTTTTAGCCCAGGTTTTGTGGYGCAGAGAGGGGATGGGAATCTGCCACTTGTTTATGTTCCCAGTGTTGATGTAAAATTCCCTTAAAAAACCTACCACAAAGCTGACATCCCTATTACTCATGTACTCTGAGGTTTTCTGCAACCCAAACAGAGTCAACAGCCTTTTTCCAAAATGGGATTTTCCTCTGCTGTCTTTCAGAGGGAGGTAATTGGAARTTGCCAGAGAATTAAGAGCCAGATAAGCCATATTGCTATTTTGTTGTGTTGACCCAAGTAAAAGTGGAAAGCTTGGGCATTTTGTTTTGGTTTTCCCCATGTTCCATAATTGTCCTAATCTTTTCTGATGTCCTGAACAGTCCAAAAATCCACACAGAGCCTTGTATAATGGCTTGAAAAAAGGGTTTTTATCTTTTTCTTGACCCATCAGCTTAAGAACTGCCTGCTTTTTAATGGATTTTCTCCCTCACTAAATTGAATGGATCGTCCCTCATTATCATTTAAATAGAAGCCTCACTCCCTGTGAACATGGAAAATTTGAATGTGGTAGTAGAGCTGTGATAATTTGAAATATTCGGAAGGTGGGGGCAAGGAGGGGGAACAGGCGGCAGAGTGCAGAATTGCTGAATGTAATTGTCATGGATTCTCAATTTTGTTGCCACAAGATGGGAAAATAGACTAATAATTGTCTTCCAACCCTAGTAGAATAGTTGCCCTAGTTAGCTGAAGCTAACACTCTAATTGTCATGGGGGCACAGAGATGAATGAGGATGTATGCAGGGCACAGCCAGGGCTAAATTGAGTGATATACTAAGGCAAAGAGCAAATTGGCAATTATTGGCCCAGCTGAAAAGGTTGGCAGGTGTGCTGCTTTCTCAGGAGCCCTTAGGGGGAAATTGGAAATATAAAATATCGACCATAAATACTCGCTGATTAGGAAATATGTTGCAAGAGGTGCTGGCCACTTAAGAGTCAAAACTCCTTTTCAAGGGATTGGCTTCAGCTGTGCATAAAACCAGCAAGTGCTGCTACTAAGTTGTTGAGAGCCTTTTCCTCTCATCCCCCAGGCTATCTTTTCTAATTTTTCATCATCCTATCCTCATATGTTTGTTTGTTTTTCTTTAAACATAATAAACGAAAAGCAGTCTTTTAGGAAATGCAAAGATTTTCCTCTCTCTAAATGTTCTTTGATAAGTGTTTAGCATATTGTATAGACTAGATATAAAATTCTCTCTCTGGTAGATGAATACAAAATAACTTCTGTGATTTCTAATTCAGACAGTTGGCTGTGATCTGCCTTTTTTTCTTTGTGTGCCATCACAGGCACTGCATCCCCCTCCCCTCCTACGTTCTGTGCCACGCTTCCCCTCCCGGGGCTCAGGGATTAGAGCAGCAGCAGGGTACAAAGCTGCAGGTCCCTTGTGKGTGCCTCAGGCTGAAGTACCTTGCCAGAAGCACAATCTCTGAGCCTCTGAAGTGAGGATTGGACCACAATCACACCACAGCTCCGTGTTTATCCACGCTGTGAACTTTGGGGTGTGTGGTGTGCCTGSTCTTGGCTCCAGCAGGGTGGCATTGGGACCTCAGTGCCATGCTCAGGAGTGGTACAGAGCACATTGTGGGGGTTTTGGGGGACATGGGGTGGTAACATGGGGGCTGCAAACTCTTTGGGGCATGTGCTGTCAGTTGTTCCCCGTGTGTGTCACRTGGGATCTGAWCTGCAGTTTGAAGAGCAGAGTAAGAGCATCCTATGAAATGGARGAGCAATATGAGAGTTTTACAACCMCTTCCACAACCCATKAGTCTTGGGAAACTGGTTTGAATATACATGGGAGGATCATGAAATCTTGMAAGTCCCATTCTTCTGGAGGCAAAAATTCACGTCCCTTCAGCACACCATCTGCTTTTACCTGTCTCCCACAAAATACCAAATGCTTGCATGAAAACRGCTTCAGCAGAAATT